ACCAAGAACACTGTCTCAACACCTTGGAGAATACGTCGTCAGCTGGGGAAGGAACTTCATAATTTAAAAGCACCAAGGGAAAGAAGAACCATTGTTACCTCCTGTAGTGGGACAACAGGAAACATGATGTGCTATCAAACGGCACTGAAAGAAATGTAGCAAAAATGTAGGAAGTACGGTAACAAACGGTGAAATTTCCATAGCCCTGGCATTTGTCACTAACATGCCATTTCGGGAGAGAGAATGTGCTACAGTTATGGTTCCTCCTGGGTATATCTCGATATCTCAATCACAACTGCACTCCTATGTTCAAAGGGAAAATTCGCAAATAACTCAAAGGTGCAGGAGGTGATAACAGGAGGTGAGCAGCACACCTCATACAACCGTTCATCAATCAGCAAACCTATAGTGGCTTTATTTAGTAAACGGATTGGAAGCGTGTCAACCTTGGAGGAGAGAGAAACACATTGGTAGGCAACTCGGGCCTACACTACATGAACCATGTATGTGCAATTTAATAAATTAATTTGGGTTTTAACATATTTTGCAATGTGTTATATTCGTTAACAGTACAAAGTTAAAGTTGACTGACTCTTAAACGCTATTCCTTCGCCAAAACTGGTTCAGAATCCCGGAACTCCATATCCAACTCCATCGTGGGAGCATCAAGGACTATTAAGGACTGCATGTGTTTAAACAGCAGAACCTCACTGCCATCTGCTCAGGGCAAACAGGGATGGGCGCTAAATACTGACCCGGACATCGCCAGCCACATCTCGAAATGAGTGTTAAAAGATATGTAAGAGTCGGAGACAAATTCTAGTCTAGGGCAGAGATTTAAATCTCCTGATCCCTAAACACTCTATTAACAGTGAACCAAACAAGTGAAGGTATTAATAACTGGGACATGTGCCTGTTCAGCCTGCCCGAAGGTAAACATGACATGACAGCTCACACCTGTCGTTCTCTTCTCCTTCAGTACACACCCTGCATTGGCATTCAACACAGCTTGTTAGAGGAGGATCCAATTCCTACTTTCATTAGCAACAGGGAAATGGAAAGATAAACATTGTGTTCCACAAAATCCTTTCGCTCTTCCCTTGTGTGGAACTGGGAACTTCCTGCTTCCTGTTAGAATATTATTTGGGACTCTGGACGACATTGGATTGATATATTTGCTTCATTGAAGTAACATTGAATCATTCCAAGTAGGCTGATCATCACTTAGATATTCAACGTTGAATAATGTTAAAATATTTTTTAATTAGTTACTATTTCTGCTAATTTAGTTTGACGTGAATTAATTCGAGAACTTGGCTCAGTGTAATCATTGTGATCAAGGAAATGCACAAATCCTCATACTTTCCAGCAATGATCCATGGATAACAATCGAGGCACAATTTGAAAAGTGAGGGGAGTTTCTCCCAGTATCCTGGCCAACAATTCCCAAATACAAAAGCAGCCATTCAATTCATGGCTGTGTTTTTGGGGACATTGCTTTGTGAAAATTGGCCACCTACAAATACACAGTCACTAAACTATATGGTAAATCCCGTGAAGTGCCTTGAGGCATCCTGCCGACTTGAAGGGTGCTATACCACATGTATTATTAAGAATTAGCGCTCTGAGATGCTTCCCTGGGTGGAGGGCGCTATATAAGTGCAAATTGCTGTTGTTATTAAGAATTGCATTTCTGGGTGATATTTTTCCCTAACCAGGCCACTGAGACCGTGTGCATACCTAACGCATTCCAGGAGTCAATCAGAATGGACTGCCTGGGTACCTCCAGGTATTCTATGTTGTGGAGTAACTTTACTAACTAAGCTATTAGGAGAAAAAAAACATTGATCCTTAAAGGCCAGCATTAGTTTCATAACCACTTCTGTGTGTGTGTGCTGTTTAGAATGACACAATTGTTATATTGTTATATTGATTATCGTAGCAAATTACTTTTGTAAAGAATATGTCCTGATCTGTAAATGTAAGTTAAACTCTAATTGTGAAGTACAATTATTTCTTTATTTAATGTACTATTTTTGTATTGTACCCTCATTGAAAATGTCGTTGAACACTCTGGTTTCTGCCTTTTTGTATTGTGCTTGAAGTAACTTCAAGCAACCTTTTGTTCAAATGTAAATATAGCTCTTTAGCTGAATAGCAGGAAAAGTCATTGCGACATAACCTTGTGAAAGCAGAAAAGCTATTTTCTGGGCTGATTTCACAAGACTTCTACAGGTGTGACACCATCATGAGAAAGTGTTTTACCACAGTTGTTAGTGACAGATATCATGAGATTGTAGCATTCATAAATATATCAGGAACTGTGGATAGGATAGTTCCTAGCAATAAAACATTCAAGGTAAACTGATCCATAATGTGCCAGCTACCTTATACAACCACCTTGTATTGCAACGTCTCAGTCTGTCTGTGTCCTGATGTTTTAATGATGTGTTTATAAGTGGAATTTATTGTGAAAAATATAATCAATCATCTATAACATATGGGGAATCATATGGGATTTATTTTACTTCTTGCCAAGAGGCCGCTACATTATTATTTGTGAGTTTTATAGAGGCATTACTTTAAGAATGGTCTCTTAGAAACTGTTTCGATTCATGGCTCACCAAAAATCAACAGGCCTATTAAATTGCTGATGTCACCAAATTATTGAAATAATTTCTGTTTGAACCTAATAAAATTGAGGTTATTGGCAACATCGATCAGTTGTTTGAGCTTCAGGTACATACATGAACGCATCCCTACTTCATGGCAGTTTGTGGGACAGCTGTCCTCCCAACATGAAAAAGGTACCATATCAACTGCAAAAATTATTATTGTTGTTTCTTCTGACAATTCTCCTGACAACAGGCTGTGTCTTCCCCCATTACCTCTGAGATCAGAACAGGCCAATCAGTTGTCGCTAACTGCATCCAGTACCTGAACATGTTGGTCCCATTACCCTGCTCTTTTATTGCCAGTGAAAATGCCTCTAAATAGCATCTGGCCACAATCTGAGTAAAACAGCTGAACAGGTGGAAACAGAACTAGTTCACTGCCCTGGTGCAGAAAGAAAACGAATTGCGCTGAACAAATGTCTCTAGTGGACACGACTGCCCAGCACAAAATTGCTCAGAGTTTAGCATTATTGTAATTGGTAATAAATTGCAGTATTGTTAAGAGAGGCTAGAAGGAACATTTAATGTGGGCGCAGAGGACACATTTTATTGGTGAGGCAAGGTTGCTGGCTGTGTCTGAGGTCGGGGAGTGTGTTGCTGGGGAATAACAGAGGAATATGGATGAATAGCAGAAAGATAGTGATATTCTGAAGCGAATCAGCTTTTTTAATAAACAAAGTTGGTCTCATTTAAGTAATAATATTGCAGTTGGCTGATTTAGTCTTAAAGCAGACAATACTAGATCTAATTTAGAACTCCAAGTAGTAATCAAATCTTGTGAGTCAGATTGATGCTTAAATTGCTGAATTCCTGCTTCTTACAATCTGTGATGTCTGAACTACTTTATTAAATTACTGTCTGGTAATCACTTCCAGGTATCCATTATTCTTTATGTAGCTCATGGGCCTCACGAATAATCATGACTGTGAAATGATGTAGTAGTAGTAGGAAAGCAGGTTTTGAAATTCTCTCTGCATTGGAGGCTGTTTTGATTTGTGTACGGGGTGTAAAGTAACATTTTGACGTGCCTGTTTGATTGAGTCTTTAACATGTCAGTTTGGCTTGGCCAATAATAATAACAATAATCCTTGCATTTTATATAGTGCCTTATCATGTTGATGAGACATCTCAAAGCGCTTCATAGGATACACTGCAAGGTGTATTTTGTGGGAGAAACGCAGCAGCTGGTTGCATTCAGCAATGTCCCACATTGGAGTGAGTGACCAATCAAAGAGGAAGATCTTGAGACGGGCCTTGAAGGAGGCGACGGAGGGGGCGAGACAGAAGGATTCCAGGATGGAGTTCCAGAGGGTGGGAGCAGGAAAGGCTCGACCGCCAAATAGCTTACCAGCTGGAGTGACGCATGTACACTTACCAGCTACATTGAATTATGCATGCGCAGTGTAGATTATCGATTAAATCGGATTTTGTATGACTTATAGTTTGCCTGGAACTTCATGTAAATTGCAATAGATGTTATGGTCAAGGCTGTTCGACTTATGTGAGTTTTCCTGTAGTACCGATTTATTGCTAAGTCAGCGCTTTGGGACGTCCTCCTCATTCATAATGAATTCAGACTGTCTTAGCTCATTTCACTTATGACTTTAGAACCAGATGAGAAGAGATTTTTGTCTTCTGGTATAGATTGAACTCAGGAACCAGAGATGAAAGAGTTGCATTCTAATCCGCCCTGTAGGCGATAATCTGTTTTCCCACAAATAAGTAATTAGAATAACATTAATCAGTTGTTGCACTGTTCGTTATATGACCAAATAAATACTTAGCAGAAGTGTTGCTATGAATTGCATACTAATGATGTATTTATAGCAGTGAGTACAAGTGTAAATAAATAGTCTTGTAGGGTTGGCAGGAAAAGCTCACACAGGAACTGAATTGTTATATTTAGAAAAGAGATAATGGCGTGCGTGAAAAGCAAGCTTTCACATATTGCTGTTCTAGTTTATCGTTGCTTATTTCAAATGATGGTTGCATTTTGTTCTTGTCTATTTATTTCCCTGCTCATCCCTGTATTAAAATGCCTCTGCAAAATACACCTGCTGGGCCCAGTGTCCTCACTCACCATAGCTCAAGAGTTTTCAGATTACTATTTCCACAGTCTATTTTTAAATGGAGCCTCTGCCCCTGTCTGTCATTAGGAGGCGTTTGCTACCAAGATTGAGTTAGTTGGGTGCTTGAGTTCAAAGGACACGCCTGTTTTTGCACGCTGTGGCAGCAACAGGAAGCAGTTATTGTTGAGCTTGTCAGTTTCAGAGTTGTATCACTAAACGACATGAGGCGAGGACTTGCAGCTGAAACATTGCGCTTGTAGCAAGCTTTTGTTTTATTTTGGCAGCAGTCAGTGCCTTCATCTCCATTATTCATGTCATAGAGATACTGTCACAACAAAGTCTGATGTGTTAAAAAGACAGGCGATTAATTGTTCTGGAGTGGGATAAGTTGTAGTATAAGTTGGAAGCGCTGTGTCTTTGAAGTCTTTTAGGTGAGGAGAGAAGGTGTAAGCCCACCCGTACGGGACAAATGAGCTTCCTTTATAACGATCCAGACCGTCAGGTCGATTCTGAAGAATTTGACTTTTCGGCACTTTTTGACAACAGCCACGATGAAGACTTTGCTACGAAAGGTTTGTAAAGCGACATTTATTGTAGAAAAAGAAAATCTTGCACCTGCAGAATTTAAGTGCCCTCATTTTGTCATCCGGCTCAGTTAGTAGCGTGCTTTACTTCTTGATAGAGGGTTGTGGGTTTCAAGTTGGAGGTGAGGCTGTCTCTTCCAATGGATCATAGTGTTTACTATCTATTTTGGTGTGCCATGTTCTTTCCAATGATCCCACTGTATGTAACAGAATCCCTTGCAAACTTGTAAAGCAATAAGGTGATGGGTTGGTTTCCTCATGAACAACTAACTGCATTGACGTTCATTTCTGGAGAAAGCCTACGATTTGCGAAGTGAGGCCGTAATGGTTGATTTTACGATCGCAGATTCCACTGAATGGAATGGCTGGTGAGACCTTGACTGAGAAGAAATAGTTCTGGACACAAACCAAATGTGTTTAAGTATCTTAAGAGTAGCAGTGGAATTGAACGGTTTGGGGGTCAATTGTACCATCTCACATGGCAGTGTTACAAACATCCAAAGTTAAGGAAAGTAATTGCACTTGTTGGGTACAATGTGATACAGCACTTATTGTTTCATCATCTGTTTTGATTATAACAAATGTGGTTACTGTCATACAGTATATTTTAATCGAGTCGGGAAAATGCTAATCAGGAATCTTTCTGTGCAGAAAAATGATAAGCAATCACCTGTATTGTAATGTTCATGAGGATACGCAAGTTGATCTATAGGATGAGCCTGTCAGTAATTGTCAACAAATTTCAATGTCAATTTCCAGTATTGTTTGAATGGAGGCAAGGGACCTGTGAACAATTCCTTTTTGCCTGAAAACAGGTTAGCTCCATGCAACTCAATTGGGACACATAGCCTGCTGGGATTCAATGTATCAGCTTGGCTCAGTTGGTAGACCCACAGTTCAAAGTTAGCCGATTCTGGGTTCAAGTCCCACATTGGGATTTCAAGCTCATTTAGCCCAACTAAAACTCCGTTGCAATGCTGGAGATTGTTGCATTACTGGAGGTTTGGATGAGACATGAATCTGAGGTCCTGTCTGCCTGTTTAAGTGGATGTTAAAGTTTCTCCTAGTGTCCTGGCCATTTGTGGGACATTGTTGTGTTCAAATTAGCTGCTGCGTTCAGTTACAAAAAAAAACAGTCACCACACTTTGTAGTGAATCCTGTGAAGCTCTTTGAGACATCTTCCCAAAGTGGAAGTGCTCTGTATCAGACAAAAGTATTATTATTTTGTCCTGTATAAGCTGTGTGTTCATCACCCCCTCCAATACTCTAATAATAATAATAATAATCCTTGCATTTGATATAGCGCTTTTCACGTCAGGAGGACGTCCCAAAGCGCTGCACAGAACACACTGTAAAGTGAATTGACTGTATATTTGTGGGCGAACGCGGCAGCCAATTGCGCACAGCAATGTCCCACAAACAGTCGTAAATTGAAAATGACCAATTTATTATTGTTTTTGGTTTTGGAGGGATTATTATTAGGCTCTACCTTAGGATTATTATTAATACTCTACCTTCCTCATTAGTGATTGATATCGCTCTAGTATGCTTCATCATCAATAACTACCTTTCCTGCATTTCATGCCCCCCTGTGCTGGTGCATGCTTCAAGCAGATTTGATGACTGTTTGTACTTTATGGTGTGGTGCTCCTATGGTGTGGCAAACACTTCACTGGGTTCTCATTGTTATGTAAAGAGAGTAGATGGAACCTTATCAGAACAGACATACGCATATCTATTTGGGTGTGTACTTCCCTGACATAACTGAAACTTTGACATTCAAATGTGCACTGTGGATAATCACTGATTAATCATTTGAATATTTCATATTGTTTTTGTGTAATATGCATCCTGCCATTTATGTTTACAAGTGTTAATAGGTCAAGAGTCCCACTGCCTTCCAAACTCTGAACAAATCCCCAATTGACTCCTCGAGCGAGACAATTTGCTTGTTGTGTCTTTTTCACTTCAATACGTCCTTTGAACACAGGTGCAGTGGTTCTGAAGTGGTGATTAATCTTCCTGTAGTATATTAACTTTCCCATCATCGTAGTACTGCTATTTGCATAAACCATTTTCAGTTACAACTTCAAATTTCCTTAGCGCAATTGTGTGCCTAATGATCTAATCGCATACCAGTGCCATTGCGTTTCGTTGGTGCTTTTGTCAAGGACCTCCTGCTGGATTCTCTGAGTTGTTGAGGCTATGTTGTTGCTGTCCATCATGTACCTATCGATTCTCAAATTGTTTCCAAGTTGGAGGAGTCGCCCCTTCATCACTAAAATTTAGCTTTGAAATTTGTTCCCCAATCCCTCTGTCTTGTGTCCTCCTTCCCCTCTATTAGAGCACGACTGAAGACCTTTCTCTTCAACCTTACTTATGGTCACCTTCTCCTTTCCCCCGATTGGGGGGCAGGCTCCACTCTGAGACACTGCCCATGTGAAGGGTACTATTTAAATGCAAGTTTCCATAATCACAGACCTTTACCACAGTCAGATATTACTTTAGATTTACTCCTTGTAGGAAAATGGACTGCTCCTATATTCCGAGAATTGTCTTTTATTTTAATTTGTTCAAAAATATTTTTTGTCTTTACTAATTGTTTTCCATTTTTCATTTCCTTTCTTTCGACGATTATTTTACCCACAAAACAATTCACTTTACTGTATATTCTGTGAAGCCCTTTGAGACGTTTTGAAGACGCGATAGGCGCTACATCAAATGCAAGGATTATTATTGTTATAACAAAGTGCAGTGCTTATTAGAAAGTTAGCACAATCGCAGGTGATAATGCTATCAGTTAATAATTCATAACATTTCCAAAATAACATGTGACCCTTTCTTTCAGATGCAGAACATGTTGCTTGTTCTCACAATGACATTGTTTCTTCGGGGATTGGTTATTCCACAATGGATGCCCCCCATTATGGGCCCCAGTCATGCAACTCCGTGACATCAGCTGTGTTAACCGAAGAACACTTGAGTGAATATGGTCATGTGGACAACAGAGAGTTCAAATACTACCTGGAACCTGCAAAGCCTCCAGCCTCTTCTGGGGTAGAAAGTCCAAGAATTGAGATCACACCATCGCCTGGACTGTTTTATGCAGCTTCACATCCAGGAGGCCCTCGAGAACAATATTCCCCTGTGGCTTCCAGGTCTACTTTGCCAGTACCAGGTCCTGAAAACAATGCATACAGAGATCCGTTCAGTCCAGCTAGTAGTGCCTCTTCCACAAGTTGTCATTCCTATGTGTCTCATGAGTATGGCATATCCCCTCAAACATCTCCTGTAACATCCCCGTGTGTCTCACCAAAGAATGGGGGCTCAAATGAACATCAAGTTCAAGCTCCTCACCATTCTCCAAGAACATCTCCTGCCAACTCACCAACCACTCACATCGAAAACTGGCACGGACCACGATCACCATCTCCATCACCCAGACAGTCTTCGAGATCATCTTCGCCTATTGGAAAGAGGAGGTATTCCTGCGATCGTTCGAGAACTCCTTCCCCACAAGCTTCACCAAGAGTTATAACGAGAGATGAGCCCACTTTCCATCCATGCTCTAACGCTAGTCTAGCTGAAGCAATGAGCACTCTCACCACAGATTCCAACAACGATTCAGGTGAAATTTGGGGGAAGGCTCGCATTGTCGATCTTCCTCCACCAACCTCCCTTAAAACTGACATGACCAGAAGTGAAAAGCACCCCATGTTTTCCATGACGGATTTCTTGGAGATTGCAGGAACATGCCATGAGCTGAAGAAAGATATTTATAATCCTGAAACCGTTTTTCTGATGCCTCCTCATCCTTTGCATTGGTCGAAACCGAAACCTCTCTGTGGGTGAGTTTTACATTGTTACATTACGTTCTGAGCTCAAAAATCAAACTGAAAGTTTCATGTACATTCCTATTAGAGGAACTATTACATTTTTATTATTATTCCCATTTTAAACTCATCTAGGGCATCCGATGGGACTGTTTTTCTCTAGATTCTATATACAATCTACAAAGGCTTCTAACCTGTATTATGTTGCTGATTTTGCTTTACAAACCTAGACTTGTGAGTTACAGCGATGAGGAAAGCAATTACCATCTTGATCTGCCTACACAGAATGGTGACTGTGATAGACGTGAGAAAGAGCTTGCTTGTTTGCCTATCATGTACAGCTAGAGGAATGAGGTCAGTCTAGGGGTGGTTAGGATCAGATAGTTACAGCTGAATCGCTCTGTCCTTCTTTCAAAATGCCTGCCACATTAGAGTAGAAACGAGCTCGTATTCAAGTAGTTGTAAAATAAAATTGTGCTGTTAATGATATTGAGGAATATAGCTCGTTGGAAGCTGATTAAAACAAGTGTCTTAATGCAAGATATTTTTTATATATAGCTTTATATATATATTTATATATTCTACCAGACAATTTGTCTCTGGAATTTGTTACTCAACCATTGAAAGAGTGACCGATGGGTGCTTGTATTGTACTGTGACCACTTTTCCCCTATTCTAAATCATTAGTTTTGTTTTCTTACTTCCAGTGATACTTAAACTCAAACAATGGTTCAAAATGAGACCGAATTAGCATCCGCCAAACCTCCTCAAAGCGATTATTTCAAGTGTGCAGAATTCCTGTTTATTCCGCTGAGTACAAGTGACGCTTGATACTCAGGTGGGAAGACGGTAGACTGGTGAATCTTGAAGAATGAGATTAAACAAGCCAAAGGGCCTTCTTCTTCCTGACCGATCTTGCGGTGCAGTTCTACACTGTTGCACTGTGTGATATAGTGCTCTAAAGAAACGGTATCATTACTATAATTTATCGGTTTAAAATTATCCTCTTGTTATTATGTAAGAGAATTCTAAAACAGATTGAAGAGAAGGTCGAGTCCGATCCAGATACTTGTATTTGGATGCTGGGAACAGCTGAGCAAATGCAAGGCTTTATCCTGTGCTTTTCTACCATTTGACATTTTCGTCTGCTCAAAGGGCACGAGGGCAATTCTTTCACAAATGTTTGCTGTTTAAAGTTTAGCATGGTCTTTTCTGCTCATGAAAGAATTTCGGAAGTTCACAATCACTGGTTGAGACACTTATTTATTCTTGAGGCCAATGTTTTTTAAGCACCTCTGTATATTAATTATGTTGATAAAGTAACGTAAAATTACAAGCAATTAAACAAACCTATCTCCCCTTCCTTTTATTCTCATGCAGCATCGCTTCCCTTCCTCCCCTGGAATGGCAGCTGCCGTGTCAGTCAGGACAGTACGAACTCGAGATTGAAGTCCAACCTAAGCCACATCATCGGGCTCACTACGAAACCGAAGGCAGTCGAGGGGCAGTCAAATCTCCCTCAGGGTGTCACCCTGTTGTCCAGGTAACATATTTAAGCATAACGCTCATTTTCTTTTGTATAAAACCACAGTGTTATGTACAAGTGCACGCATACCTCTCCTCACTCAAACACTCACTCAATCACTCCAAGGTTGTTTGTGGAACGTTGCTGTGTGCAAATTAGCTGCCATTTTCATCCATAAAATACACCTCTTTACAGTATATCTTGTGAAGCGCTCGACAAGGTGATAAGGCGCTATATCAAATGCGAGGATTATTATAACTCGTGCTTGGATACCAGTTGCCTTCAAGCATTTCTCTCAAGCTGCCAGAACAGGGTAATCTTGACAGGATATTTGACCATAATTGAACCCAATTCTATCCTCTCTTGACATTCCATGAGGGATCACTGGGCAGTGATTAAAAGCCAGAGCTCTGGCTTATCTTTCTTCTAAACCCAGAGCTGCTGAGATCAATAGTAGCTTCCTTGTGCCTGGCCTGGCTGTGATTGGGTGACTTGGTAGAGTTGGTGAGCGAAATAACATTTAAAAAAATTTAAATAGGACTGGGAGGGAAAGTTCTAAGAGAAAAATAATGTTTTAGTTCTGCTCGGGGTCTCTCACAAGATCACCGGATGGATTTAAACGAAGAAGTTCCCACAGCCCATTTTACCACAACGATGGTGAATACGTCTCATCACAGCATCAAACTATATGCTTTTAAATGAGTCCAGTGTCCTTCTTGACAACCTGTTCCAGTCGTTAATTACTCTCTGCGCTGTGATCCTCCCCAAACCTCTTGAAAACTCGGGGACTGTTTTAAAATTCACTAAAGAAATCCATGACTCGCTCTGACACTATTGCAAACACTGAAATATGAAGTTCTTCAAACCGTTTCTCTTTCAAATGGAGACTTGTACGTCTGTAGCCTGTCTCCCACATACTTTCACATAGTATTTGGCTGCTCTTGTCTGTTTTTTTCTACTGTGGCCTCAACATGAGCTGTTCACATCCTTTGACTGTGATCTGTGGTTTTTTTCTTTAACCTCGATGTTTCTTCCTCTATTTTGTGTGTCTGGGTAGCACACACAACACACTTTGCAAACAAAATGCACGGGTGCACCTGACTCGAACAATGCAGTCTTTGTTTTTTTGAGGAACTAAAGCCCACCATCACGCTTACGAGAATCTCATTTGACAGTGAAATGAGTTCATTTTTTTTGGAGAAGCCATTTCAGGAGCAAAGCATTGATTTGATCATGACCTAACATGTCTGAGGAACCTCAGTCAGAGATTGGGGGAGGCTTAGAGGATATTGCATTTCCTGATAGCAATATGAAGTGCAGGTAGTGTGTTTGTCGTTGCACAGCTTACTGGAGCGGTGGGAGGAACTAAGATAAAACTAAGCATGTCTGCAACGAAAACGGAAATTGTTTAGGCGGATCTCTTTGTGATCTTGTGTATGATTTTTTTTCTAACAAAAACCATACTGGCAGCTCTAACTTAATAAGTGTATGCAAATCTTAATATTAAGATAGAAAGTGCTAAGTTTAATTATTAGTGTTTTATCACATTGAATGTGTTGTAGCATTTCCCAAGTCCTTAGGTATCAAGTGTAGTGACCGTTTTTCCATTATTATTATAAAATGCTGTCATTAAAACGTAGCTCCCATGATGGATTAGGCGAAACACTAATAGCAGATGTTGAAATTGGCCTTCACGTCCCTGAACCTGGGCATCCTTGTCCTGTTGCTTTTGGTATCAAAAAAGAAGCTTTATTTGATTGCTGCCTTTCGCTTCTGTGGTTGGCCACCGAATATTAAATGAACCCACTAAGAGTCTGGTCTGGTGACCACACCATTTCATTTCGGAATCAGCAGTCACTGTTCGAACAGTTAGAGATTTAGGCACCTTTTCTGGGTACTCACCACTGGGAAATTTATGAAACACAATCGTGATGTAAAACCTCAGGGTAAAAGAAAGTCCCGCGTGTAACATCCATACGCCTGAAATGTTTCGTGTTCTTAGTCTTAATGTTGCCCACTGACTTAAAGTTCAAGATCATGAGGAATTTTCTGGGGCATTACTATATGCAAATTGGCTGCCGCATTTGCCTACATTACTGTCACTAGACTTCGCAGCAGCTTCTGTGAAGTGCTTTGTGATGTCTTCCCGATGTGAAAGGTGCTGTAACAAATGAAAGGATTATTATTATTCATTCACTAACCACACAGTGTATAAAAAGAAGGGTAGTCTGTGGTAAGCAGGAAGCATGGCACATTCAATGTTGTGGTGAACACCTAGGATGGGAGAATATTAAAAAATACACCTGATGGGCAAATTGCCCATAAAGAGCCCAGATCTACTGACAGATTTTGTGACTGTACATCAAGAGGCATTTCCTTGCCTATGTCATCCCATTGTATCAGTTGTCTCTCATTGCTAAAGGAAATGGATGCCACACAGGACGACCAATTTTACTGCTGTAGTTTGGGTTGTGAACATGGTCTCAGATTCAGACCTTTTTAGCTTTCTGATCTTGGTTATTTAAATCCTCTTGACACCACCAGACCTGCTTGGTAGACCATACCATACCTGTGGTTACGAACAATGTTTGGGGTTTACAGTTCAAGATCCTGTTCCTCACCTTCAAAGTCCTCCACGGCTTTGCTCCTCCCTACTGTGACCTCCTAAACCCCTACCAACCTGTCTGCTCCCTCCGCACAGTGGGCTCCGGCCTGCTTCACATCCCCTGCCTTGCCTACCCCACCATTGGCAGGCAGGCCTTCAGCCTCTCTACCCCCACCCTCTGGAACCCCAGCCCATAGTCCCTCCACTTCGCCCCCTCCCTTGCTTCCTTCAAGACCCATCTCAAGACCCGCCTCTTTGACCGTGCCTTTGGTCACCCTCTTACCCCTACCCTCCCTGCCCTCCATAATACCCTGAAGGTGTTTGTTTCCAGATAAATTTATAACACAGATGAGCAGGTCTTTCAGTGTCTTTCCCCCCACACCCCTTTTTCCTTTTTGGTTAAGGTTCCACACACACCCGGATGGGTGAGATGCAGCAGTGAGTTTTGGCAAGATAACAGGCAAAAATCGAATTGTGTCCACAAACACCCACCCCTTCAAGCTGAAATGTCTGGTTGTTCATGTTGTGAGAACCCTGAGCATTCTTTTTATTCTGGAGTTCCTTATGAAAGGTAACTGGCCCACTGTAAGCTTTCTTAGAAAAAGGAAAGATGTTGCCTTTTGGTTGTCCTTTTCATGACTCGTTTTTCTGCCTCTGCCCTTTATTGCGGTGGCTGTGTGAGCCCGTTTGATGTTGTAGCCCATCTAAGTGACAGAATCTGCGAGATTGGGCAGCCTTGGTGCTGCAGTTTGCATTACGTTGGAAAACTTTACCGATGCCATTTGTAGGAAAAGCGAGTTACCCAGAAAGTGGAAAATCTTTTGTCATTTGATCTCCAATTGAACAAATTGTCCAGGACGTTTAACGCTGTAAGGGCTGAGCTTCCTGTTTCACATGCATCCATTTCCTTTGCATGACATTGACAAACATAATCTGTAGAATTACAACACTGAATATATTTTCTCTTCTGTCATCTTCCTTCTTCTGAAGACAGTGACTCATGTTAGAGGTATGGTGGCAGCTGTCCAGCTCCTCCGACATTCTCCGTGCGTCATTGGAAGTTTTATCCCTGAGAGTCACCACAGCCAGGCTTGTTCCATTTTTGATCCAATGTCCATACAGACATTGCAGTTTACCATACAGTGCTCTGGTCAGGCCTCACCTTGAGTGCTACGTACAGTCCTGTTCACCATGACATAAGAGAGAAGGAAAGGCTGCCTTGACTCTGGAGGTAGTGCCAAGGAAAGCAACAAATAAATAATAAAATAATCCTTGCAATTTGCTTTAGAGCCTTATCATGTCTTCGAGACATCTCAAATTGCTTCATAGGATATACTGTAAAGTGAACTGACTGTATATTTTGTGGGTGAATGAGGATGATCCCTAGTTTTAAACAGATGAGCTGTGAGGAACAATTTGATAAACTAGGCCTTCAAAACAGATGACTTGGTAGAGACATTATAGGAGCTATATAAATGGGATTAAGAAAATAGGACTGGAGAAACACGTTTAGGTACAAAATACACAGCTGCTGGACTTTATAACAAATCCTGCATTGTGGTTTTACAACAAAACCCTCCCAATGTGAAAGAAGTCCTATCATACATAAGGATTATTATAGATATTCCAAAGCAGCAGAACAAGAGGGTGCAGGTTCAGGGTTTTGAATCTCAGGACAGACCTCAGCAAGTATTCCTTAACACAATACAATACAAATTTATATTTATACAGTGCCTTTCATATCGGGAGAATGTCCCAAGGTGCTGGGCACTCCAGGGTTTAGACTCAAGATGGAGGTGTGGGGTGTGAGCTGTGGGCGGAAGGAGGGGAGATGGTTAAAATCGCAGTAAAATAGGAAGGGAATAATCATGGGGTAATTAACTGAATGGGCTGCCAGGCAGGGTGGTTGAGTCCACACACTGGACTCATTTAAGGAAGAGCTTAATGCTGTAATGAGAAGATATTATTATTATTAATGAGAAGATGGTAGTTTGACTTGTTTGGGGAGGGTGTGTAGTGGGGGGGGGGGGAGAACATGGAAGATCATCAGCACCAGACATTCCTCATTCCATTTTCTTTTTTCATTCTAATGTCTCCTCTTAAAACATTCAGGAAAAAGAAAGTAAACGTTTCAACTTGTTTCATGAAAAGCTGGAGTGAGAGACGAAACTGGAGAATATTATTCTTGGATTTTTCTAATTTCGGGAAAAACTTGGAATAAGATTTTCTTAAGCAAGAAAGTTATTGTTGGCACAGTACTAAAGGTGACTTAAACATACCTTTCATTGAGTTCAGATGTTCGTGCCACACTGATCTTTTATCGAACGGATATCCCTTGACGCATGATGTCAGAAATTAGCCTTTCTGCTATACCCACAGCTGCCACCATTAGCGCAAAACTAGGGTTTGATGTCCCCAATGCTACTTATTGCCGTGACTTTTGTCACCCTTTATTTAGAACCAACAATGCAAAAGGTATGTGTATATGAGTACTGTACAATCTCATGTATAGCATGCCTTATATAAGCAGCAAAAACAACAAAGTGAAACAGAAGAAGCCTGCCAGTATCAACAGACTTTCTACCCCTCCCTGGGCAGACCTTTTTTAAATATCTATTAAATACTGAAATTGAATGTCCAACATCTACTGGTAAATCTGCCTTGATATGTTTTTTTTTAAAAAAAGTTACGGTGCTAAGAAGTTTATGAATAGTCACGGATACTATAAACCCCACTTCATTGGAATCCCAAGTGTAAACTGAATGTAAAAGTCTATGACTTTCCCACTTGGATGGTGGCGTATCTGTACAACTATGGTGACTGTTGCAGCTGTTCACCCGTAAAACGCACAGTCCCCACACTGCACAGTAACTCCTGCAAAGTGCTTTGAGAAGTCCTCCCGACATGAAAGGCGTCTTATCATAACCTTCCTGGTAACGACAGCTGGAATGGGTGGCAGAGGCCACGACGAAGGAATCAGGTCAATAATTTTGTGTTGTAAAGATATTGGAATACAAAGATATTTGTATTGGAAGAAGTTTGTATTCAGCACTTTTCTGTGATCTTCTGTTCCCTACAAACCCTCAAGACGTTTTGGGGATTGAACACTTGGAAAATGTTGAACCAATTAACTAGTTCAATGTTACCGAGATAGCATCACTGACCACCAAAGTGGCCAGGTTTATGGGAGGATATAATCAAATCATTGTGTTAATTTTGTATTTGTCTGTAAAGACGGAATAAACTATACAGTTTGATATCGTGCTCCAAACAAAGCTCTTTGCTTTACTTTGGCTTCTATTCTACTTGAGGTTTATATAAATGTTTGAATCTGGAACTCAGGATACTTTACTTTAAAAATAAAAAAAAGTACAGAGGTAACGTTGTTCAGCTATTGAACTTGAAATCTCAGAGGACACTGGTGCTTTCATCAAGCTGAGTGCCTGGTGTCGTGGCCAGTTATTCAACGATGCAATTAATCAAGAGTCATGCACCATGTGATTTTAAGCTGTGTTCTAAAAACATCTTGCATTTGTTGTTTGCTCAGCGCTGTAGTCCCCTTGGGAGGAACAGAATAGGGCGGCAGCAGATAAAAATAAACACAGGGCGTTTGTAAAAGATTTGCATTATGTTGTCCCATTGCTCGTGCTACCCTAACACATTGGTAATCAAAGCATTTTTATTTGTTTGTGTGCCACATTTGATAAAAACAAAACCATAGCAAGGCAAACTATCTCTAGTCTGTGACTTCGCGATCTTGGCCCGAAAATCAAGAACTGTGTTTTGCTAGTTTTAACAACAATGGAGTTGTGGAGATCAGATGCCAGGTGATTCAATTGCACTAATGGACCATTTGTTGATCTCGGTATAAAAATAAAATGATAATATGTGCATTTGATATAGCATCTTTCACATCCTGGAGCTGTCTCAAAGTGCTTCACGGGATGTCATTGCTCAGTTTTCAGGCAAATGTGGCAGCTAATTTGTGCACAACAATACCCTACAAACAGCCCTGAAATATTACTGCATCTCAGAAACACATTCAAGTCTGCAGTGAAAAGAGGCAGGGGTGAGGCAGTTTAGATGAGGGCCTTATCAAAAGCCTCTTTGAAAGACATCTTCCAGTAGTAACATTGGAAAGTGAATGATTACTGCTATTTCAGACCAGATTTGAAAGTATTAGAGAGCAAAACTGCGTCTGAATCTTTATTAAACAAGATTACTGTACACTCTCCAATGTAAAATTACAGTTTCAATGCCTAGCATCTCATGACAGCAATAACTCAGAAATATGATATGCGTGATACTGCTGCTTGTTATCACTAACGATTTACAGGAGTATATGGGGTACTGCCTCATGATTTTCGGAGGGGTTCTTGCTAGAGAGTTTGCGCTGATTAAACTTCAGTCACGCTCTCGCTTTCAAACACATGTATCACAGCCGAGCCTGATCTTTTCTTTACCCAATATCCACACAAATCCACCTTCAAACAGGCATTGCTGCATCACAATGACATTTTTTTCCCTTCTTCAAAACAAAAGCGTTGCACTCAATTCACTGCCTCAGCTGCGGTCCTGTTGTTTTAAAAGCAATAATGAGCTTGGGAGTGCTTATTAAACTGTGATTCAAAGTTCTTGTGGTCTTTCCTGACCCTCATGAGAAGTATTCCAAAATGATTTAATGTTCGTCGAGAGCCTCAATATATGTTGTCTTGTTTCTCGCCAGCTCCACGGTTATGTGGACAACAAGCCTCTCAGCCTGCAGATTTTTATTGGAACAGCAGACGACCGGCTACTACGACCACACGCCTTCTATCAAGTCCACCGTATCACCGGGAAAACCGTTTCAACCACCAGCTATGAGAAAATCTGCGGAAACACCAAGGTGTTAGAGATTCCACTCCTGCCAGAGAACAACATGAAAGCAATGTAAGAAAACTTTGTTCACTATATCAGAATGTGTTGCTTTGAAAGAGTATAAATTCATTGGTGTGCCACCAAATAGATGGGTATCAGTGTGCCACAGGTTGGATCAATATTTCTTGCCTCCTGCTTCTGATGATCATCTAAGTCCCAACATGAAATGGGTTTGGCCAGTTCCAGTCTGGTTACTGGTAAGAATATACAAAACTATCCAAAATGGACCCCAGAAAACCAAAAGCTTCAATTTTGCAGCCCGGCTTTCAAATTAGGACCAAATTTAAGAATTTTGTGCCATTTTCCCACTTAAGGCCAAAACCACGAAGCATTTCAGGCCCTTCATTGGTAAACTCAGTCAGAGAAAGAATAAGGAAATGACAGCATACACACTGGTATAGCAATGGGTCTTCTCCTGAGGTTGATCTTCTGCTACACTGTATTGTGTTTCAATCTCCAAATCTTAAGTACCTTGTGTTGCCCAGTGGAAAACCCAAGGACATTCAAGGGACAATTTTAATGTTATAGAGATGGTTGTACTAGAATGCTGAACTCATATTTCAGCTCTTTAATACCAAGTGTAATGTGAAGCGGGAAGTACAAATCAGCTCTGTGTTTCACATTGCTCAAACTCCTGGAGGAAAAGTCTCTCCTTCTCCAGTGAGTACAAACACAGCATCAAAAAGCTGAGGAATAATGAAACTCCCTTTGGCTCGTGTTTTGAAGTGTCAATTACTATCAGTGGCAGACTCTCAACGGTGAAGGAATTGCTGAGGACTGCTGTGGAGTCTGTTTGAGGTCCAACTGAAATCTGTCAGATCGCCGAGCCAGACAGGATTCCCGATTCAGAGCCAAATCGCTAGAATCCAGATCCTGGAGTCAGGCTTCTCTTCAATCTGACGCTAATCCCAGCTCAGGTCCTAACTCTGTGTGTCCAGCGCCTTGGGACTTCCTCCTGACTTGAAAGGCGCTATACAAATGTAATGTTGTTGTTGTTGTAAAATCTGGGCTCATGCAGATTTGCCTGATACTTTTTCACATTACGCAAGGAGTGTGCAAAGCATTGTGGTTGCTAATGAGAATAACTGTTTACATGGACTGTGATTAGAGATTAAGTTCTTAGCTCCCACTGCATCCCAATAATGGATTTTTTTTGATTAATGGATTAATTGATGAAATGCTGGTAGCCAACAATTGGCTTCAAACTAGCTGAGTGGTTAATTTGGAAGCACATCTATAGTCTTGGTCAGTTTGATTGTCCACAGTGGGATGACTGAGGTATGTGTGTTAAATGAAAGCTACTCTAGATAGTGGCCTGCAAACAGAATAAATCATTTTGTTAGTACCACTGCCTTTGACCTGAAGTCAGAATTAAATGACTTGCAATTCATCTGCTCTCACGTTAAGCTACCAGCATTACTGCAGCATAGTTTCTGAGCAATTTTGTACTTTTTTTATCATACTAAATAGCAAAATAATATTAGCTATGGATTATTTATAGCACTTTCCACTCTTGTTGTGACGTTCTTTAAAACATTATTTCACATAAAGGGTGGTTTATAAGCACAAGTTGTTTTTAAAATGCTCTTTTACTGCCTTCTATGTATGAGAAAATCTACAATCAAATCCAGTTAGCACAGGCTGAACAGGTTGGGACCTTTTTGCAAGCGTTAATAAAATTACAGACTGTTAGTTTTCCACGCCCAAGGTAATGCAATTTGTAATTGCTTATCCTATGGTGTGAACAGTGGCTTTGAATTGGCCATTTCCGGACCTGTTGCCCACAATTGCAGTAATAGAACTTGGAGCAGCTTTGACTTTCAGGAGCATTCAGCTGATGAACTCTTTTATATTCACCAATTTAAAAAAAAGCTAAGCAGCAGTTTTTGGGGTTTTCACGATTGAAATGCGCAGGTTAATTACTGTCCTCTCCAAATAGAAGTTGAATCCTAGGTTGCATGAGCAATGTCAAAAATGTATGCACCTTTCAAATGGGGAGAATGTCTCAAAACGGTTCGCTAAGACTGAATGGGAGTCCAAATTAGCAGAGAAATTGAGTTAAGATGAAAGATGGCTAAAAACATTGTAAATGTTGGTTTTCTTCTTAAATTGGCAAATTGAAGCGTTTGATTTATTCTGCCTGGAATTGCCTGTATCGAGCTTTTGCAGCTGAGGACTGCAGAGCAGTTGCCAAGTGGCAGATTTTGAGAAGGGTGGACTGTAGAGGAAGAGATTTTTAGATTGCCTTTGTTATTAATGCCAAAATGCTATGATTACAAATGCTATTTTAGACAGTCAAAAGGATTAAAATCCCTTTAATTAAAGCGCTTTGTGGCACTGTAGAGGGCTTTAGCTTTGTCAGCAAGAACGCAGGCCAATGAGTTGCAACCCAATACAGCCACAACACAGCAACGTGGCACCAAGGCTGCTTGCCTTTAAACTTGTCGTTAAACTGCAGCCAGTCTCAAGGGTACAAAGTGCTCGATCTCTTTCTGTTTTTAGCATCCCGATTGCAAGGCCTCAACAATAGAGTTAAAATTCACAACGCATCTAAAATCCAAACCTGCACCACGTAAGTGAAAATACTTCCAGAAAACTGGAGAAAAGTTGGTAGCATCAAGCAGAAATGACCCCAGATTGTGTTAGCGCCAAGGTCTCATCCTATCACGTCAATGCAATTCGGTTGACTGTATCCTGTGATGGAGTTGAGGAAATCCTAAATGCTCAACGTATTCAGTGAGGAGGTACCGAGGGCAAGATTCTAGCATTTCAGTTTCGTCAGCAGTGACTGACTGGAGGAGTCCTAATGGAATCCACTGAGGGTCTAACATGACTCACCTGGACCTGTTCTGCCAAATGGTTTGCCCCACCCCACCCCCACCCCATAGAAAATAAAAACTCTGTTATTTTAAGATTTAGGTTGTATTGATTTTGAGAAAAATATTCTCAAAATTAAAAATCAGCAGCTCCAAAATTCGCTCTGGTTTTCAAGGAAAATTGGCTTGTGCCAGCGATCTTAATTTTTGAGAATGTTACTGGAATTTTGTTTGATTAAGAGGGAAAGTGGCCTTGAAATAAGAGCTTTTTCTGAATCGAAATGAAATTAGGTTATTTTTGGCTGTGGACAGTTCTCGTCAGGTAAAAGAGCTGAAAGGATGTGCGGTCAGAAATATTTCTGTGTAACTTGAGCGAGGTTTAAGGGATGGCGTTCGAATGCTTACATGAGCAGCCCTTTTCCTTCTCACACACTGATTACTACCTCAGTACTGTCTGGGAAGTGGAACACTGTTCTCTTATGTAAAGGATTGCAACTGTCTTCCCCTTGCACCCAGTCACCACCTCACCTTTCCTTATGGCTGTATATTTTTTTTGTGTGCAGACATAAGTGAAGTAATCTTGTGAAAGAATGTCTGTTAAGAGCAGACATATTCCCAAATGACTAGGTTGCATCACTTGCAATGACTAATCAAAGAAACCACACAGTATGTGTAACCCATCCGCTGAGCTTGGCAAACGGTTACCAAAGGGAAAGGCATTTGAGCAAAAGGATACAGTCAAGTTACATTGATTAAATATCAGTGTTCGTAGATCAACAAATAACCTGAACTTTTCCTTGAACCAAAGGACTTTCAGGCCAAAGTCCCCTTTTGTGCACTGAATATAGTGACATAGAGTGAACAGAAAGAAGAAAAGAGAAATTCATTTCCAATTTGACAGTGATTCATTTTAAGAAGTTTTACAAACCAATGATTGTGGGGCATTGATTCCTGTAGGGTGACAGTCCATGTCCGGCTGCTGTTGCATTCTGAATCATGTCTTTTCTGCTGCAGTAGTTGTATCAAGTAGACCCGCAGATTGCAACTGGTTAAGAAAAAGAACAATAAAGACAATGGCATTGAAGTGGAAGTGGGAAGGGTGGAGTAGAGTGATAATTTAAGCAACTGGTCTGTGTACTCATGACAGAACATTACAATTCTTGCATAGTTTTTCCCATTAAAATGCGATATTCACATCTTGTGCATAGCATGTATGTGTGGAGTGCAGAAAGTGACCCGATAAACCAGAAAGTGTCCCTTTTTTTATTGCTTCACTTGTATCACGCTCAGTGACATGATCCATCCAACCGTGTTACAATCAGGTTCCTCTATAGCATGTATGAATGGCTTTGAAGTATTAAGCAAGTGATCCTCAACTCAAGTGTTCGTCAGATCAGAAGACTGCAAAAGGTGGCAAGATAGGAATTTACCTGCTTGATTTTTCCGAATAAGCTTTTGTTTTGGCTAATTCATCTCCTCAGAGTATGAAGTATATTTCCTCTTCGACCGTACCTTTGGTCACTCTCTTACCCCTAGCCTCCCCCGCCCTCCACCCCTCCTGCCACCAACCATCAACTCGGGTATACGGATCCCTGACTGGGATGTCCTCCTGACATGAAAGGCATTGTATAGCAGTTGTTGTTATATTTGGAAAAAAACAATGAGTTGGTGTAACTCTGCACTTTTTTGGGGAGGAGGCCTGATATGCCGAGCTGTCTTTTCTCAGGCTGTTTTCTTGTGTGAGGTTTAACATGCTTCATACTCCATTCCCAGTGAAAGCTGCCTTTCATTTCCCCATTTGAGGCTGCTGTATCACATTCACAGCTATGTTTCTTGTGATCTCCTCAGTCAGCCTTTTCCACAGTTTAACTTAGATTTTTTTTTAAAAAACTCAAGAAAAGAGAAGAAAAACAACTGCAAATCCTGAACTGATCCCACTGAGTGTTTGACATGGAAACTCAGTAATTTCTGCACAGTCAGGATGTGTGAGCCGCGAAGCAGATTTCAGCAAAGTAAGATCAAAGAAGAAAAAAATTGCAATAGAGATACTAATCTATGTATGTTTTTCTTTAATTAATTGAAATCTATTTTAGTCTGAGATCAGTTAAGTCAGTAAATGTTTCTGGGTTTAAATGCTATTTTTGCGACATCGTTAAGATCTTCAAAAGGTTTGGGTTCGACAGGCTATTTTTCTGGCGGTTGTGCTACACCAGTCGATCTCTGTGAGCTTTTCTTGTAAGTGATGAATGAGGAGTGCTGTCCTCATGGAATACTCAGCTAAATAGTGGAGATGATGGAATGGCAGATGTTCTGTTCTGTTTTACTTGTGTGTCAGCCTGGATCAGTAGCGCTCTCGCCTGAATCAAAAGGTTGTGAGTTCAAGCCCCACGTCAGGAATAGTGATCCTGTGGAGCAGGCTCGCTGGAGAAACGGTTGAAGCAGGAAGTGTTGATACTTTCAAACACAGATTAGATCATTTTCTTTTACGAAATATGGGATTATGGGATATAGTACATAGGTAGTTTGGGACATATATGCATGCAACCGCCAGGAAGGTGGAAGGAGAACTAGATGGACCTTGGTCGTTTTTTGTCTAGCATTTCTTATGTTCTTATGTGGGACTTGAAATCACATTGTCTAAACTAACACTCAAATGCAATACTGGAGATGCTGCATTGTTGGAGGTACCATGCCTCGGATGAGATGTTAAACCGAGGACCCGTCTGCAGTTCAGGTAGATGTTAAAGATCCAAAGCCAGCATTCAAAAAGAAAAGGGAGTTTCTCCAAGTGTCCTGGCCAACAATCCCCCAAAATATAATTGGTCATTCTCTCCGACAGTTGTTTGTGGGACATTGCTGCATGCAAACTGACTGCTGCATTTCTATATTTTATTATGATGTGGCATGTGTCTTAATCCCATTTACCTGATTTTTCCTCCATATCCCTCAACTCCCAACTATCTATCTAAAGCTGCAAATATAAGATTTGGGTTTATGGGTTAATTTTCATCGAATAGAATTTTCCCAACAAAGTGTTTGCATTTGGATAAAATTCAAACCTGGTAACTGAGATCTGCCTTCACCTAATTCTACTGTCCATTATTTCACATCGTGGCAACCACATGTTCCAGCTCCTTGGGATGTCCTCCCGATGTGAAAGGCACTCTATAAATGTAATTTTGTTGTTGTTTATATTCTTCTGATGGGAATTTTAAAAAAAACTGAGACAGACATCAGAATCTAATCTCAATGTAGCAGAAAAAAATTGAAAACAATCGAGTCCATATCCTGTGTTGTGTCGCAATGTTAATCTACAGTCTAATTCTGGAGAAATCATAAAGTTTTTTGTGGTGTTTAACACTGGGGTCAAACAATGGACACATCTTGGATTAGCTGATGTCCTCAGGGCCTTCTGTCTTTTCTCCAGACTCCCACATCCATCCGTCTGTGAAATGTATTTGTGTGCACCTCAAGGTAGAAGTTATAGAGAAGAGATTAATGGTTACTTCGTGCAATCATATGAGGGAAAGATGAGCTCCATTAACTCAGGTCAGACCTCGAAGAAATGCATTTCCTATTACAACATGATTATAAACTCAGAATGCAGCGTGTACTAGCATGATTGAACAACGCATTAATTACTCTAGGTAGGACACCGTACCCTAGGAAAACCCCACAGTTGGTTTTAATTGCTGTGTGGTAAGCACACTTCCTGTTGACTGAACCATGGAGTCTATGTTGAAGTAGCTCACTTTATGTTCTTGCCCACTCTATTTATTCTCAATGTTATTTTTATATAACTTGCTTTAGAAGGAAACGTTTGTGTCAGCTGATTTCTGATCCATGCCCAAACCCATAACTGTGCCTAAGAGAATTCAAACCAGGCAAAGTTCCACATATGAATGTGCATTTGCTCCCAGGAGGGTGCAACTGCTAACCTAATTGTGGAGAATATTAGGCCCACGAATGCAGGGAGCCACTCTGAGGACTCCAGAGTGCTTGTTGGTGTGCTGCTGGAGCTTAGCCGGTTTAATCAACACAGCTTGTCATTGTGTCCACTGTCGAGCATGTATTACCTGCTCGCATTGAGGATGAATGAAACAAGGCGAGATCAGTTGAATGTGAAGTATCTCTTCTCACTTCCATCGCCAATCGGTTCAATAAGATGTATTTGAGTAAGGGAAGGTCACGCACAGTGCACGCATGTTAATCTGCCACATGAATACTTTTCTGTCAGTGTAAAGCTATCAACCAAAAAAAAAACTTTTTTGGACTTTAGCCAATCTTGCTTGAGATACTAGGATTTATCCAGGTGGATTATACTTTTAAGATTAATACTGAAAAAAAAGCAACGATTTTAGTAAGTTGGGCACCATTTCCCACTATTATTCCTTGTACTTCTTTCTTTGACAGCATTGACTGTGCTGGTATCCTCAAGCTGAGAAACGCAGACATCGAACTGAGGAAAGGGGAGACTGACATTGGCAGAAAGAACACCAGAGTGAGGCTGGTCTTCCGCGTACACATTCCTCAACCCAATGGCATGTTCGTCTCGCTCCAGGCTGCTTCCAATCCCATCGAATGCTGTAAGTTTTCCTTGAGCTTGAATTCAAATGTCTATTCAATGCAGCAACTTTAACTCATGTCATATCTTACGTAAGACATCGCAAGCGACAGACCTGGGTTTGATTCCTGGCAGGACGATACCTTGAGCAAGTTTCCTTACTCCACACGCCTGATAATAATCCCTCAAGGAAGAATAAATAAATAAATTATTCGCTTCAATCCACAACGGTTTATGGGACACTGCACATTGCTGTGCGCAATTGGCTGCCAAGTTTTGCCCACAAATATACAGTCAATTCACTTTACAGTATATTCTTTGAAGCGCTTTGAGACGTCTAGAAGACGTGAAAAGCCCTATATCAAATGCAAGGATTATTATTATCTTTCATGTTGTCTTTCATAATGTCTTGAAGCACTTTATAGTCATGGTGTACTGAGCGAAGCGGAGGGGGTTGCAGGTATTAATTGAAGTTACGATCAAAGACGTTAGTTCTTTTGGAGGGTTTTCAAAGAGGGTGGGAGCACGTACCATGGAGATTTGGGGGCAGATATCCAGAGAGCCGGGTAGATTCTATTGGTGAGATAGAGAGGGCGAGGGAGATAGATGTGGAGCAGCATAGCTTTTCATAACACCACTGTAACATGGACACCTGCATTTCATCAACTTTTTAAATTTAAATGCAAGAGCGAAAACTCTTTGTTGTAATTAAATTAATCATTCCCAATGGGAAGAACGTTTACAGGAATAGTGTTTTGAGACCGTCAGACCATGTGTAGGTTCTTTTACACCTGAGGTATGATCTTTCTACCTCCCAGTATTAAGCATCATGAAATATCATGTGAGCATTGGAGAACACATGGCTGCTGTTTTAATATTATGTGCAGAGGTGCTTTCCTCCAATACTGCAGTAAAACATGGTGAACACACAACATTTAGCTAATCCAACATAAGAGAATGAATAGAAGCTATCAGACTATCCCCTTTGACATTATTCAACCAGAATAAAATCTCAGTTGAAGATGTTAAAGCATCTTAGGGAAGGAGTAGAATCTCACTTCTCCTTGTGAAACCCATGTTCAATTGTCTAGATGTTTCTCACTTTGCGTTTAAGCAACAGTGTTGTCACACAAGAGGAACTTTTCTAACACTTACAGAAGTACATGTGATGGGTTCCTACTCAGATATAGAGTATCATAACAGTTAACCCAACTTCCTAACAAAAAGTTGAAGTAAGCAGGAGCTCAACATGTGGTCTTTTGTAGTAGCAATAAATATTATGTTTCATTATAAGTGCTCCTTGAGAGGCAATGTGTAGTCAAATCTAGCTGTAACATGAGGCAAACTCTGTTTGTATTTTCCAATCTGTCTTCCATAGAAAATGTCTTTTGCTGAAATAGTCTTGAATGAACTGTCAACTCTATTCTATTTAAGCGCAATGTTTACAGTTCTGTAGACTTCATTCATCCAAGCACATTATTTTGGGATCATGAAACAGATGCTCCTTTTCCTATTTTGAGTTTCTGTTATTGTCTAGACTAGCCTGATTACCTGAACTGATTGAAGCACATTACTGAAATGGAAAATTAAACATAAGTCAGGAGTTTGACAGATCACCTGGAGGAGGGCAAGGGAAGGATAATTGCACTGTTTACATATTAAAAATATATTCATTGCCATACTTTTGTTCAAACATGATTAGCACAAGTATATGGAAATAGTGAATTTAGACTTTGTGCAACAATAGCTGTAACTGTTGCTTGAATCGTTCTTGTTAGGATAGAAAATTGGGGAACATTCTTCAAAGTTTTCAGTGTTTTTGAAATAGTTAAACCAATAACCTCTCAGGTATAGTATGAGCAGAGTGCCTGACAACTGTAGGTGAGGATGCACATGAAGGGATTAAAGTTACTTAACTTGATTGATCAGGCACAATGCGATTGAACCTTTGATTCTCCAGGCACAGAATCTAAACAACTGACCCGAACATTTAAAAACTGCTTTGCATGCTCTTTAAATTACAAGCTTGTGGTTGCTTTAACCTATTTTATTCTCTCTTGCTTTCTGGCTGCAGCTCAGAGATCAGCACACGAACTGCCAATGGTGGAGAAGCACAACATTGACAGCTGTTTAGTTATGGGCGGACAACAGATGATCCTGAATGGTCAAAACTTCACGCCAGAGTCTAAGGTCTTATTTACAGAGAAGACTCATGGTAAGTCACACTATTTCTAAATCCAAATGAAAATTTGTGCTGTTGGTAACGTTGGAAAAAACAACTGCTGTTCTCAATCTGTCTATCCTTGTTGTGTATGGAATGTTATTAAAGTGAGGGATGACATTCTATCATCTAGAGATATAACATTCAGCAATTTAGGACCCAATACTTAGCAGTTGGTCTATCCATGTTGGACATTATAGAGATCTCTTGAAGTGCAAAGCTGACCTTGAATTGCTTCAATATGTTGCTTGGTCACAGGCTAGAGGAGCAGATGGACTGCAACGGTGTGGTGTTATATTATTCTAGTCCTCTGGACTCTCTGAGTGAGAAGTCAGTCTAGTGTGAAGCACACATTAGGCTTAAACTTGTATTAAACAAGTCATCAACCAACATTTCCACTTAGAATTTTTTACCTATCACCAGTGAGGTAAGCCCGTTACCCTCTTTCATGTCTTGGAAATTGAAATTGAAGTCTCAAGGAAATTGAAATTCAAGGGAAAGTTCCACCTTATAATTTTATACAGATAAATACTACGCATAGGAAGTAAGAATAGCAAACACAAGTCCTCCATTGGATGGGATGGAACTTGCCGAGGGGGAAGCTGAAAGAGATCTTGTGGTATTAGTTGCTTCTCTTTTTATGTCAAAATATGAGGCAACAATAAACAAAGCCAGCAGGATGCTGCGCTACACTGCTAAACCAGTCGACTTTAGATTCCCTGATGTCATTCTCGGCTCATACAACGCTCCGGTCAAGGTGCACCTAGAGTACTACTGGATACAGTTCTGTTCATTGCGATACAAGGGAACTGTCCTGCCCCAAGAGACAGGGCTGAGGAGAGCAATAAAGATGATTCCCAGTGCGAGTGGAATGAAAAACTATTAAACTAGCTAGGACTCTTCAGTCTTGAGAAAAGGCGACGCAAGGGGACCTCATAGAGGTATCCATTTTAAATGGGTTCAAAAGAGTAAACGCTGATCAATACTTTTGGACGCACCAAGATAATGGAACAAGAGGACATAAGTTTAGAGTGGCAAAGGGGAATTTTGGGACAGACGCCAAGAAGTTTTTCTTTATTACCAGAGGGTAATTAATGACTAGAGTAGGTTGAAGGGAAGGGTAGCAGTGGCCAGCTCATTTAAAAAAAACAACTTGATGCTGTGATGGGAGGAGGGGGGGTTGGTATTCTCAAAGGATCATTCTTTATCAAAACTGATCTGGTGATTACTGAAACTGGTCAGAGATCATTTGATGTTGAGCTGCAAAAGTGGAAGAAAGACCTGTAGCATTCCCCACCTGAAGGTTTCACTTTGTTGAGTGCAAACTTCAACGTATGTGTAAATTTAAAAGAAAAGTGTTCATTAATCTACCTTACTCCAGAACTGAAATTATATTGGTGTAAAACTTCATGAACGCTTCAGAAATATATATAAACCATTCTTACTGATTGAAAGGCATGTTATAAGTTTTTCATGCACTCTTGTTAGTTATTTAAATGCTGGCATTCAGCATTCATAAATTGTGCTTCTGGACTTGTGATTATTCATTTGTGATGAGCCCAGATTCATAATTGGGGAGACTAGAAAAAGTAAAGTTAGCATAAATGACCAATCGTATTTTTCTGCATGAAAGGCAACTGCACTGTAAGCTGGGTGTCTGACACACGCGTAAACCCGCCACCATGCTTAAGAGTATCCAAACCAAACTGAGAACCATTATTCCTACCTATACATGGAAATTACAGAGATAGATTGCTGGGATGGAATGCGCACTCTCTCCCTGGAAGGAAGCATCCTGCTTACCCAATTTCGGGAATGTATCAGGTGCAGGTCGGCAAAAAACAAGGCTTGGGGACCCCATAGTGCAATGGGCTACTGCTGGAGTCTAACCAGCTAAAACTGCATAGCTTGCCATTGAGAGCAAAGCCTGGCAAGCTGTCCTGCTGCTTCAGCTAGGACCACCCTACCCATTAGGGACTTTAGCTTGTAGGGTTAACGGTAGCTGAGTGGGAAGATTCCCTGCCCTTCCAAGTTCTGCTGATAAGCCAGGCTGGCTAGAAAAGAACTGTTAAAGAGTAGGAGACAAATTGCACTTAGCCTTTAACATTTACGTTCAATCACTCAAATAGATCGTTCAGGATACAAGATGTTAGAGGACGACCATATAATTTATAGTCTTAGATTGGGTTATTTCAGGAGAGGCCCAGTGGAGAATGAAGGAAATGGCTTCTGCAGGACTGCAATTCATATTTGCGATTCTTTTATTTTCATCAGACCCTTGGTTTCTGTCAGGTGTATGTGCAGCTGTCTTGTGGATACACGTCTTACTGGTTCTTCCACTTATTTAAAAAAGCACACACACACACACTCTGCTGGTTCACTCCTTTAAATTTGGACCCTCTCCTTGAACGGAGGCCACAAATAAATGGTTTCGGAATTGAAACAATACAAAAATTGTTTCTATTCCAATTCTACTCAGACTCTAGTCCTCCACTCTTCCAAATAGCAGCAGCATCCACTCTGTAATGATTTTATTCTCTAATCTTCCAAGACAGCTCAAATCTGTAGATATTTTTCCCTTTTATTGTTGTGTAGCAGTACTTTGGGAACGATAATGAATCCATCCATTTCCCGTGCCATATCATCTCGGTTACTAACATGTGTGCCCTGCATCTTCCACTTGGATCTTCTACCTTTTCTGATAAATTGCAGTTGGCAGCATATCATTCACTATCGTAATAGAAGTCTTCTCTGAACAAATTCCATTTATCTAGGTTATTCTGGGAAAGGCTTTACTCAGTTGATTGCTTCCATATGCCCATGTACCCTGTTAAAGTCTAATAGATTACTACTGTGCTCCTCTCCCACTCTGGCTCTGAGAGTCTTCCTTAATGAAAGCCTATTTTCCTGTGAAGCCATCTGGTTGGTACTTTCTCCATTCCACTGTGTTTTTTTGTTTGCTTTTCCCCGACAAAATACACAGTTAAATTTACAATATATCCTGTGAAGCGCTTTGAAACGTCTCGACGACGTGATAAGGTGCTAGATCAAATGCAAGGACTATTATTATATAATTCTATTCCCTAGCAATCTATTTCTAGATTTACAGAATAGGTTTAAATTTGTGTTTCAAGGAAAAGCTTTCACTTCTTGAAACAGCTTTTTGTGAACTTATAACTTTTTTGTGGATGAATCAACAGTGTAAAATTGACATCCTGTAGGCATTTTGCATAAATCTAGATTAATTGCAATCATCCTGGGTCCATCAAAGAGTTAAATTAGGAATCAAAAACATAAACACAATCTGTGAAAAATGAAGTTGTGAAAAGATTTTTGGATGGTTTCCCCGCTAACAGAAACAATCTGGAACTTTAGAGCTTTTAAAGTTTAATTAATGTGGGCAACCACTTCTGGCAAGCTTTCACTGCCTGTTGTCTTAGTATGGGGCTGAGATGGCAGTGGGACTCTGGTTTATAGTTTACCTTTGAAGAAGTTTGGCTTCTTGTATTTTTATGAAGTTTTTTTTTCAAAAAACAAAGTGATGTAGAACTCTGATCTTCTGCATAAATGGAAAGGTGTAAATCAGTCGTGTTAAAAATTGGCACAGTCTTCTGGTATTCCCTATTCCGCAGCAAGTAATGAAATCTTTATGTAATTAATTTTATGATTCCCACTGATCGTCTTTATGTAGCTGCTTTGATTAAAGCTCTAAGAAATACCAATATTTTATTATTATTAGAAGCAGATTTTTTTAATTCTCAATAACAAAGACGAACTTTTTGGGCATTATATTCCTATTTCCAAAAAAAACACTCTGTCGATTATAATGTTCACTTTGCTTTTATTGTGAAAGTAAAACTATTATAAATGTAAGCTCTACTCTTAGCTGAATGTTGGATGTCTGTGGACTGCCACCAATGTAAGTGCAGAAATCTATTCTATTCCCCTCAATACATGACTGTTTTGACATTTTCTTCTAAAAAAATAAAATCCGACAGGTTATTTTCTTGATATTTCATAACAAAATTTATTCAACTTTCACCAACTGCTGGGTATTTTATTATGTTACAATATTAATGAGGGTTTTTTTGTCTAAATTTTTCTAATTTCCTCCCCTTCTTAAGCTGTTGTTTCATACTGAGATATGGCTCCATTGAACGCCTCAAGCCATCTGGTGGCTAGCCCAAGAAGCCTAGACAATGAATGTCAGCAGGCCATTCAACCAAGGGTACACAACAGCCAAGTCAAACTGCACCCTGTGTCTATATAACTAATAGTGATCAAAAGCAGGAACCCCAATTAATTTTCCTCCTTCCTAACGCAGGGTACTGAGGCTAATTGCAGTGTTCATACTAAGCTAACTCAGCACAGACCAGGGATTGAACCTGGAGCATTTGTGATACATATGGTGCAAAGCACCAACCATTGGTTTCACTTACTAAGTCATCAGGCTTAGTCATCAGGCTGGGATGCCCCCTTCCCCCAAAATAGGACTTTCTAATAAAATTGGTAGTTTAACAGTAGAGCTCTCAGGCCAAATTCGTATAAGACACTGGGGAGAAATTCCACTTGGATCTAGATTTCTCCATATAGCATTTCAGAGCATGTCAGAATTTGTCATTTGGAATTTGAACTGATCTTTGAAGAGCAAATTTCTACAGTTTCTTAAAAGATCTTGCAGAAAACCAGCTTTAAAATTAAGACTGTATTTAAGTCTGGATGCTCTAAAATGCAACATAGAGTAAATGTAGACTTTCTCCCAATCACTTTGTAAAAGATCTGGACTGGTATAATCTTTGAAGTCTGCAGCCTGCAGTGAAGTTGAGAAGTTATTGAGCAAAGTATTACATAACATAGCTTAGGAGATGTTTACTGTGGTCACTGGCTGCATAAGCAGTCATCAGATGCAGTGTTTCTGTTAACTGGAAAATGTTTATCAAAATTACAAATTCACTTTTTTTAAAAAAATGATAATCAATACAGCAAAACTCACT